CCGATTCCTGTGCTTGTCCCAGCCCCAGCCCTGTAGCAACAGAAACAGCAGCAGCTCCAGCCTGGGCTCTGGGGCCTGGCCAGAACTGCAGTTGCTGCATCAGCTGCTACAGAGCCCAGCTGGGGCTACAGCAAGCAACCCCTGCCCTACCTTTTTAAGGAATATTTTTTGTGTCCTAGGTCCTAGCTGGAGTACTGCGTCCAGTTCTGGGCACTTTAAGAGGGATGTGGACAGCATCGAGAGGGTCCAGAGGAGGGCCACTCGTATGATCAAGGGACAGCAGGGTAGGTCCTATGAGGAAAGGTTGCGGGACCTGAACCTGTTCAGCCTTCAAAAGAGAAGGCTGAGGGGGGATCTTGTGGCCTGTTATAAACTGGTTAGGGGGGATCAGCAGGCGCTGGGGGAGTCCCTGTTCCCCCGAGCGCCGCAAGGAGTGACCAGGAACAACGGTCACAAGCTGGCGGAGGGAAGGTTTAAGTTGGACATCAGGAGGCGCTACTTCACGGTCAGGGCGGCTAGGGTCTGGAACCAGCTTCCAAGTGAGGTGGTGCAGGCTCCCACCCTGGGGGTTTTTAAGAGGAGGTTGGATGACCACCTTACTGGGGTCGTTTGACCCCAGTACTCTTTCCTGCCATGGCAGGGGGTCGGACTAGATGATCTGCTCAGGTCCCTTCCAACCCTAGAAACTATGAAATTAGCCAGATCAGGTCCAAATCCATTTGAATCATCCAAGAACCATGTGGCCCTGCTACCAGCAAGTAGCCTCCACCCCAGCCTGGGACTTCAGATACTTCTGAATCCTTTGGCAGGCATCCTACATGCAGGCCCAAGCATCTGGGGTTCAGATGCCTCCAAGTTTCACTTGCTCTCAGCCGGTATGGCCACAGGAGCAAGCTAGAAGCAAGCACATCCTATGCAGAGGGTCCAGAGCCAGAGGTGCCTACTAGGCCTCCACTTCCGCCGCCCCCGCCACCAGTACCTGTAAATACCTGGGGAGCCTGACCTACTGTAAGGGGTGTTTGCCATTATGTGAAGCACCCAATACAGCATGCTGCAAATGTGACACAGACACAGCAAAATATGTCACGACAGACTTCAACGCAGAGCAGTCACCAAAGGAAAACAAAGCCTGGTGGGGCTGTACTTCAGAGCAGGGCACAGCAATACAGACATCAGTGACTACTCTGAATTTGAAGGGACTGTCCTGGAATTGAGCTGATTTAATCTTCTCCAAGATTTGAGAGCAGACAGTAGCCACAGCATATAGCAAAACTACAAAATGATTATTGAAAACATTAGGGGAAGCTGTTATCTCGTTAGCCAGACAGAGCCCAGCTCCAGTGCAAGTAACTTCAACTGTGAATAAACACCAGAGACATGAGCCGAGACTGAGGTCAGTGCAGCTGGAGGCAGAGAGAGCGAGAGAGAGGCTGAACGTGCGGACTGCAGCAAAAGGGAACAACTGCACTGCTCCAGGCATTAAGGTGCATGTGCTGTGGAAGGAGGCGTCTACCCAACCACAGAACATGAGTATATGCAAAGCATTGTGGGAAATGCAGGTGACGGGGACATCATGCTCAAAAAGGACAGACAGGAAACCAGGCTCACTGGACTAATGCTGAGGAAGGACGGAGGAAGAAGCCAAGAGAAAATGCATGATTGCACATCAGCATGGCATCCTCGAAAGGACACACTTTGCCAGGTAATACTGAGAATAGATGCAGTCACGTCAGGGTGAGGGTGGTCTTTGCTGGAAGGACAGAGCCCATGTCACTGCCCCAAGTCACACAGCTGGTAGGTTGTGAAGGATGCTGGGTGACCTCAGCCAAGAGGATTTGCATCTGGGATTGGTGAACTTATTCTGTGGAACCTGCCCTCAAACTCTGGCACAAAGCAATTCTCAACCCCTCGCCAATCCCACTGCTGGATCCTGGCTCATCACTATGGAGTAGCTTGTGACAAATCTACCTTAGCTCTCATTAAACCTTACCTTGCTTCACTTTAACAGTGATCCTCCCCTCCCTTTCTTCAATTGTGCTTAGCCAGAAACCAAGCCGTAGCCCTCCTCATCACAGCCTAGCAGCCCTGACCTACCTCAATGCAAGCTCCTCAGAGACCTGCCACTGCCAAGATAAGAAGATTCCTAGCTTTCCCCCATCACCTCCCACTGACTCAACTTCTTCCCACTTCTACTGACCCATCACTAGAATATGCAGGACCTTCTCTACCAGGATCCTATGGTTTGGCTCGGCTCCAATTCCAGCTTTGTACCAACTGTGTTTTGCTCTTGTTTTTACTTCCCTTCTTCTCTCCAGCCCTATATTCTAATTCTCCCCGAGGGACTGGGCAACAATGGGGTTGAGGAACCAGACCAAAGAGAGGAGAGATCTCTATGTAGATGATTCCTTCCCACACCTTTCCTGGAGATGGCCTTAGAAGAGTAGGTCTGTGGAAAGACAGAAGCTCACTCCATCCATCAGACTGCTCTTTGCACTTACTCCAGGAGAAGGAACTCAGCATGCTGGCTGATCTTTCAGGCCAAGGGCCTAAAACAGAATAAGATCAAGCCACCCTCTCTCTCATGAAATGTTGCAGGGGGTCCCCATCTGCCTCCCCTCTGCAATGCTGTTAAATACTGCTCTGCATTTCTGTCATTAGCAGCCTGAAAAATCCTTTTTAGGAAAAGAACATAAAGGAACACGGACTTACGGGATTTGCTGAGCATTTTTATCAGCAAGTGAGGCATCACCCAATGGCTATTGCTTTCATCGCGGCCACCGCTCGTCACCTAGAGTGGGAAGAGGAAGATGCTTTGAGTCGCACCTGTCAAGCAAAATAGCTACTCACTTTGTACACATCCTTTCTCTCCCCAGGCAGCCGTGCACTTCCAGGCAACTATAAGCACTTGCAATACGATGGCCAGAATGGTAGCAGTGCAGGCAAATTAAGATTTCTATAACAACACACACACACGCATGAACAAATGGAGGCAGACTACACTGGCACTTCTGAATACTTGTGTGAACAAGTTCCATTTTTCAAAAGGATTCTCGTCCCCTTTGAAAGCAACTAGGGCACTTCTGACAATTTTACTCACCCTCTCTAGGAAGATAGAATCATTATGCAAAGAGGTGGTTAAATATTTTACATGCCATTAAGGAAGGTCAAAACCCCCCCACCTAAAACTTGTAAATAAGTTTGTTCCATCTCCACCAAATGCATTACAAACAAGACCTCAGGTATGTAACGGAGGTGCTAGTTTCCCATTAAGCAGCTACATTTCAGTAATACATGCCATGAAATGTTATATATGAAGTATTAGGCACTTTCACATTGCTTAAAATCCAATATGCAAATGCATTTCTTACCCACATTCACGTTTACACAGTCATGTGCTAGTCCACAGTTTGTTGTAAGTCAAGATTATTGCGTCAACATCAGTTCCTATGAAATCCCTGATGCGTGGTATAGCTAAACACAGATTATCAGGTTCCACGTTAAAAACAAAGCACCACAGTTCCAGCTGCTCTGGAGAATGCTTTCTTTTTTGAAGAGTTACCTCCATATTATTTTTAGACACAAATATCCAGAACCAGCTTCACTCTTCTATTTTTAAGTAATGGCTCAGTCTAGTAATAATTTACTTTAGCTTTCAGAGACCTTTTCTGATAAAAAATGTCACACATACACAAGAGACAGCTAGACACAAACCACCCAAATTCCAAGTCACTGAGTCGGCAACAGGCACCAAATGTGCTTTGCAGCTACTGAAGTAAGAACAGCTGCAACACTGACCCCTTACCAAGAACCCCAGCAGATGAGATGGAAAAGGCAGGTATTATTAAGACCGGATTCCACATATTTGGATTAAATCCAATTTCTTTGATTCAGCCAGCTACTCGAGAAGGACCCTGGCTCCAGAGGCTGAGTATCTGCACTTGCTGCCTTACTTCTGTGACCAGTGCTGCATGTTGACAAAGCCTCCTGTTCATAAAGCAGTCTGAAGTGCCAAATACCTCTGTTCCAAGAGAATCCACCTTTGCAAGGGTTTAGCTGACTTTGCCACAGTGGAGGATCTCAGTAGAAATGGTTGAAAACTACCTTCCTAAATATCATCCCATGGTTACTTAAGGAAGTCTCAAGAAAAAGCCCTTCCAGCCCACATACATCATGTTTACTCATTTCAGAGCAGGTGTCTGTTAGCCAACCGATTCTCAGCAGCTCAGTCACTTGGTTCTGTCATGATTCCATAATTAAATCATGCTTGCTCAAAATCTTTGCACCACAGCGGATGCCTGCAGAGACAGACACCCCTCTGGAACAATGAGAAAGGAAGTCAGCAACCAGGGCCAGGACATTCCTCCAAAAGGACCCTGGATCTGCATGCCTGTCTTGCTGCTGCTTAGCTATTGCAGAGAGACTTCAGAGCACTCCCACACTTGCAAAAGCAAGACAAAACCTAGAATTAAAATCCACGCATATTTGTGGGACAAAAATAAATACATTCAGCAAGGACAGGTCCAGTTGCAGAGAGAGACATCAGGACAGAGCAAATCCACTTCACTACCTCTCTCTCTCTCCTCGGTCCCAAGGCAAACACTGATTTATTCCATCATGAAATAAAGTGAAGTACTGGTGAAATGAGCCAAGCTGTGAAGTTTATCCCTATATATCCCTGCCAACATACCTCACTCCTGACTTACAAGGGCTATACCAAGGGGGAAGAGGATAGTCTGGCTTGCAGGACCCATTCAGCTTTTCCTTTCACAAGAGCTAGCACCAATTTAACTATATCAATTTAAATTTTTTTTAACAAAGTGGTAAAATTTCTATGCAGATACAAACTGAAATAAGCCAGTCCTTGCACCAGATACTTACATTAAGCCCAAAGCAAGCCATACTTATACCAGTAAAAATGATCTTACAGGACTTTGTACCAATTTAACAAAATAAGATTAAATTCACACTGTAAGATACACCACTACAATTCTCCCAGACTAACTCAAGTGGGAACTGGACCAAGAGCCCTATCTTATTTTATGTAAATCATCCCATAGAGATGAAAAGCCTCTTCCCATTAATCAACTTTTGACTTTTCACAGTGGGCATCCCAGTGGTGGTCAAATGACATAGGGAAGGCACAGAAATAACAAAAGATTGAGGTGGCCTTAGTAATGGCAGGGAAGTGAGAGTGTCATATGCTTCTACTTGATCTTAACATATAATAATGCTAATTTAATGAGATAGAGAAAAGCCACTCAGATTCTGCCAATAAATTATGCCCCAGAGGAAGATTCTTTCCTCTAACCTTGGACAGGAGCATAATCCAACCATGTTATTTGTCCAGTTCTTCCTGTGCTTTATAGCTGTGTCAACATGCTTCATGCCTCCCCTCTTTCCAGCCTAAAAAGAGCAGGCATGATGTTCTCCAGAGCCCATGAGCACCATAAAGACTGGAGAAGTCATTGCTAAATTCACACTGTAATGGAATACACCAAAGAGACAGGTCCCACCCAAAGCCACCAGGGATGGTGAAAAACATCCTTCATTCAGAAAGGTGGACACTGCTGAAACATTAACCCTCCCCCAGGACTTCTCCTTCTGGAGGGAACAAACCAGCACTGGCATGTGAGCGGAGTAAGGCAGATTCTGCTCTCTCCCAGTAAATTGGGAGCAGACCTGCTGATATCAGTGGAGTTATACGGTGGAACAAAAGCAGGATCAGGCCTTGCGTGGGGCTGCAGTGTGCTTCTTGAGAAAGAAACCTGGGGGATCCTGAGCTGGAACATCACCGACACCCCACATACCTGGAGAGAAAACACTAGGTGGTGTTTTCCTCGATCCTCCCAGTCTTGGGCTATGGGCTGAGGAGGGAGAGGAGGATCAAGGCAGTGAACCAAAGACTGCGGCGCTGGTGTCATCGTGAAGGCTTTGGCTTCCATGACCACAGTCCACTCTTTGGTGAAAGAGGCACCGAGCTGCTGGGAAGATCTTGCTGGCACGGATCTTCAAGAACTCCTGGCACTCTGGTGAAGTGCCCAAAGACTGGAAGAAGGCCAATGTGGTGCCTATCTTCAGGAAAGGGAGGAAAGTGGATCTGGCAAACTACAGGCCCATCAGCCTGACCTCTATCCTGGGAAAGATCTTAGAAAAGATTATAAAAGAGACCATTCTTAACAGACTGGCCGATGGCAGCATCCTGAGGGATACCCAGCATGGGTTTGTTTCGGGTAGGTCTTGCTTGACCAATCTCATTTCCTTTTACGACCAGGTGACCTATCACCTGGACAAGGGAGAAGAGATTGATGTCATATATCTTGACTTCAAAAAAGCCTTCA